AGCGGCGGCTCCCGCCCGCAACTCCGTAAGTACACCTGGGCCCCGCCTCCCCGCCGTCACGTGGCGCGCTCGACCCAGCCCATTGGCCAGCGACTCCTTTCCCCTCCCCCTTCCGCCCCTTTCCACCGGCCGCGGGAAATCAAACCGGCTGGTGGCGCCCCAACGGCCACCTGGCATGTGCGCGCCAGCGGGGTCCGGGCGAGCCTCCCAGGTTGCCCCTGACGACCCGAGTAGGGGTAGCGGTCATTAGCCGCGTTTCTGCAGCGAGGGTTCCACTGGCCTTTACCCTTCAGACCGTCGGTGCCTGGACTCTCCTGCCCTGACCGCACAGAACCTCCGCGCACACTCCTGAGCAGGCGCGGTGGTTATCACAAGCAGAAGCCCCTCGTTTTTTAGGGCCTTAGGGCTTTTTGAAACAAGGTCTCTGTTGCACAGCCAGGCTCTGAACCCCTGATCCTCTTGCTCTCGACTCTCGAAAGTGCAGCATTGCCTGGAGTTAAAAGTCAGCCTGCGTCATATAGTGAATTCCAGGACAGTTTGGGTACAGTGAGAGACAATGTCTCCAGAAGAGAAAAACAAAGCAAAGTTTTAGTAAATGTAACCATACATGTAACCAACACCCTAAGATACCTTCTTTTTAGGTTGAGTATGGTAGATCCCATCATTTCTTCCAGTCTGAAGAAGGCCTGCTTTGGTTGACTGTCGCTAGTTTGTTGCGGCCCACAAAAAATTGTTAAAAAAAAAAAAAAAAAACAAGCAAGCCAAAGGCAAGTTATTTTTGCTACAGGAAGTTCCCTTAAGCCTCTTCTGGGTAGCCCGGGCCGCCTGACCCCACAGTTTTGACGTCTTCCACCGAGTATTTTCAGATTTTCTTAGGTCCGACGCAGGACCCCTGGGCCACCTGGGCTTTGTACGTGCAGTTTGCTTAGAATTTACTGTCTCTCATGATGGGTCTCTTCAAGTCTCAACTATCCTATCTTATCGTGACATTTCTTAAAAATATGCAGTGTTTTGACCGTTTATTTTAATCATATGAACGGACACACAATAGGCAGTAAGACGCCACAGCAATAGGAAATTTTGTAGTAATCCCTGACATCTGGAACATCGCACCACCCATCAATTTATTCAGTAAGTGTTGATGATTTCCAATCTGCAGACGGCTCTAAGTCAGTCTTTCGAGAGCCGCCTCCTCCACATGGGAGGACGGGGACGTCACTTTACAGAGTTCAATTTTATCTGGTAAAGCCCCCCCACCGCCCCGGGGAGTAGCACGAGTGCGCGGCCGCACTGGTCCCCACTCCGCAAGTGCGCTCTGGCGGTGCTACCGTCCGCTATGCCGATGGCCGGTGTGGTCGCTCCCTGTCCCAGCGCGCCCTCTGCTGACCGCTCCCGGAGTCCACCTAACCACAATTCCAAACGAGAATTCCATCAGCAAACTTGCCCACTCAACCCCTCCGGTTCTTTCAGAGTTGAGGATTGTGATTTCTAGACCAACAGGTATAGTGAACAGAAAAAGAGAAGAGAGAGACAAGAAAACAAATCGCCAGTGAGTCAGTAAGGTACACAGAAATGACCACTCCTTCCTTACAATGTTAAGTACAATGTACCTGTGTCGAGCCCTAATCTCAAAGAGATACCGGCTGGGGAAAGTAATCAGGATATCTCACTGGGGCAACAGGAGAATCACAAGGCGTGAAAGGTGTGGAGGAGTTCAGGTGTGGACCGAATGAGTCCGAGTGTGAAGGGAGAGGAAGCCCACAAGAAGAGGTGAGCCCTTTTACAAAAAAATTTAAAAACGGAGTCTGGCCGTGGTGGCACACGCCTTTAATCCCAGTTAGTACTCAGGAGGCAGAGGCAGGCAGATCTCTGTGAGTTCGAGGCCAGCCTGGTCTACAGAGAGAGTTCCAGTACAGCCAAGGCTACACAGAAATTCTTGTCTCGAAAAAGAAAAATCGAGAATCTGGCAAAGGTCAGAGTGTAGCTCAGTTGGCAAAAAGCTTGGCTGTCATTCACGAAGCCCTGGGTTTTGGGGACTGGAGAACTGGTTTGAGTTAAGAGCACTAGCTGCTCATGCAGAGGACCTGAGTTCAATTCCCAGCACATACAATAGCCCACAACCCTCTGTAAATCCAGTTCCAAGGAATCCGATGCCTTTTTTCTGACTTCTTTGGGCACTAAGCAACTGCATGGTACACACACATACATGTAATCAAAACACTCATAAAGTCTGAAATATTTTTTATTATTTTTGTTTTGTTTAGTGAGACAGGGTTTTTCTGTAGCTTTGGAGACTGTCCTGGAATTCTCCCTGCAGACCAGGCTGGTCTGGAACTCACAAAGATTTGCCTGGCTCTGCCTCCGGAGTGCTGGGATTAAAGGTGTACACCATTACTGCCAACTGTTTTTGGTTTTTAAAGACAGGGTTTCACTGTGACTGACCTAGAACTTAATTTGTAGAACAAACTGGCCTCGAACTCACAGAGATCCCGTCTTCCTCTGCCTCCCACGTACTAGGATTAAAGGTGTTCGCCACCACCACCAACTTTAAAGATGCTTTTGGTAAAATAAAGATGGGTTGTGGTGACGGACCTTGTAGATGTTAGTCTACCATTGAGCTATGACCCAGACTCTCAAATTGTTTAGTTGGTTTCCAGCTTGCTTTTATTGTTTTGAGAAAAGGTCTCACAGCAAAGATTAGTCTGACCTTGAACCCAGAAACCCACCCACTTCTGCTTCCTGAGTGCAGAGGCTCCCCTCCACCCCAGCCAGAACATTTTCCGATGACTTAGTTACTTTTTTGGTGGTCCTGGCTACCTCTTTCACTCAGCTCGATCCTCTGACTTTCTTACCCGTTTTTTACATTTTTTTTTTGTTGTTGTTGCTGTTGTTCATGGAGACAGAGTCTCATTAAGTTGCTCAGGCTGGCCTTTAACTCCTTCTGCAATTTAGGTAGACTTTGAACTTTAGACCTCCCTACCTCAGTCTCCTGAGTAACTGGTCTTCCTTGCCATTCACCCTTTCCACAGCCCAGTTCTCTCTCTCTAACCCTTTTGCCTCTCTTCTTATGGCTTGCCCTGCACCAACCTCAGTATGCCTAACATCTCCAGGGCTATGTTCTATCACTTGTAGGTCATTTTTTTTTCTGGCTTTGGCAATCACTTTCTCTTTAATTTAGTAAAATTTATATTTATTAGCTATGTTATATTAGTGTATGTAGTGGTGCACACTTTTAATCCCGGCACTCAGAAGTCACAGGCAAATGAAGCTTTTTGAGTTTGAAGTCAGCCTGGTCTACATAATGAGTTTGAGGAGAGCTAAGGTTATATAGAGAGATCTGCTTCAAAAAAATAAAAAAGTAAGTAAACAAAATACACATTTATTGGGGGATGGAGAGTTGGCTCAGTGTTTAAGAGTGTTTGGAACACATGGTGGTTCATAACCATCTGTACCTCTACTCCCAGGGCATCTGACGCCCTCTACTGGCCTTATCTGTCCCTGCAAGCGTGTAATGCATTTGCGTGCATGCAGGTAAAACACTCACTTTGTCCCCCTAAATTGCAATTACTCATTGGGGAAGCACATGCCAGAGTGCATGTAGAGATCAGAGGACAGCTTACAGGCGTCAGCTCTCTCCTTCCACCGTGTGGGCCTTGTGGATCTAACTCAGGTGGTAAAGCTTTGCGGCAATTGCCTTTACCTGATGAACCACCCCTCGGCCCCTAAGTGCCCACTTCCTGATAGCTCTCCAACTTGTGTCTGCAATCCTGAGTCCTTCCCGCTCCTACCAGAATCTGAGTACAGTCCTTTTATTTACTTACTTGTTTGTTTGTTTGTTTATGGTTTTTCGAGACAGTGTTTTCCTTGTAGCTTTGGAGCCTGTCCTGGCACTCGCTCTGTAGACCAGGTTGGCCTCTACTCCCCGAGTATTGAGATTAAAGGCATGCGCCACCACCGCCCTGGCAGAGTCGTCTCTAAGCCATGTACTCAGCCTTCTGAACAAAGCCAAGTCCCCCTCCCCCCCATCACTGGATTAGGTTCCCAGCACAGGACCACAGTCACTCACGGCCATTCCAACAAAGAAAAGGTGAAAATTGGTGATATTATTCTAGCTATTTCAACAATTAAAAAGCTAGCATTGCTGGGATGATGGTGGCTTACATCTTTAATTCCAACACTTCAGTGGGGGCAGAGGTGGGAGGAGGTCTCTGAGTTTGAGGCTAGCCTGGTCTACAAAGTTTCAAGACAGCCAGGGTTACACAGAGAAACGCTGTCTTCAAACAAACAAACAAAAAGCTAAAGCTAAAGCTACTGTCAGCTCCACTCCCTCTCAGCACAGACTTCCAGGACTTTCCTCTCCAACTGGTTTTTGTTTTTTCCTCCTAAACTGGTTTCCCTCTCATCTCTTCCCTTTTGTTTGGAGGAGAGTGGTTAAAATGGCATCTTCCTATGCCGCCCTTCTTGGCCTGGGACTCAGTTTGTAGCCAGGCTGGTCTTCATCTTGTGGTGATCCTTCTGCCTCTGCCTCCCAGGTGCTGGGATTAAAGGTGAGCTCCACCGTACCACTCTCTGTCCCCCTCCCCCCTTTTTGTTTGTTTGG